AAAAAAAAAAAAAAAAAAAAAAAATGTACCTGAAATCTGGATCATGGGTAGGACTTGAGTGTAAAAAATTTTTGTTTGTTTTTGTTTTTGCTTTGTTGAGACAGGGTCTCACTGTGTAGTTGAGACTGACCTGGAACTCACTGTGCAGCCCAGGCTGGTCTCAAACTCACAGTGATCCTCCTGCCTCAGCCTCCCAAAAGTGCTGGGAATACAGGCATGCGCCACCATGCCCAGCTTGTTTTTGTGTTTTTGAGACACAGTCTCACTTTGTAGTGCAGGCTGGCCTTGAATTCACTATGTAGTCCAGGCTGGCCTCAAACTCCCGGCAATCCTCCTGCCTCAGCCTCCCAAGTGCTGGGATTACAGACATGCACCACCACCAGCAGCAGGACTGAAAATAATTAGAAAAGAAAAGCCAGAAAGGATATGTCAGGTGTCTTCATATATTTAGGAGGGTCATATTTGTTATACATTTATAGCTCCAGGGGGCAAATCAGAACCAATAATTAGAGATTATAGGGAGACTGACTTAGGCTTAATATAAGGAATTGCTCCCAAATTGTATAGGGTTACTTTTTCTTTGTGGTGCCACGAACCAAACATATGGCCTTATTCATGCTAGGCAGGGACACTACCACTGAGCTAATCCCCAGCTCAGTGGGGTTACTTTGTAAGGTACTAAACTTCTGTCATTATTACAATCAAGCAGAATGTGGGTAACATACCTGTCAGCACATTTCAGAGGAAGTCTCTACATTAGGACTAGATATTTCCTCGAAGTCTCCTTCCCATGACCCAGATCCTATTATTCTGTAGTTCTCTGGCCTGACTGGAGAGCCAGGACAAGCATGGGTTCCCAAGACAATGTCTCCCTAACTCTGATGCCCCCTCTAGCCTCTAGCAGCCATGATGGAGGAGGAGCCAGAGTCAACCAAGCCAGAGGAAGGCAAAGACCAGGATGGTGAGTATCACCCACTTCCATCCACAGAGATGAGATAGGGTCGGGCTCAGCTGCTGCAGAGCGGGTGGAGAGGTAAGGGGCAGCCCAGGTTTGGAGATAAAGGGCAAGAGAAGGAGGGCTGCCCTCTATGTTTCTCATCCCAGGAAACCCTGAAGGGAACAAGAAGGCTGAGAAGAAGACTCCTGATGACAAAGTGAGAATCCTTTCCCTATGCCAGGACCCCAGTCCTCTCCCCAACCTAGGCCTGATGCCATTGACCACCTCAGCAAAAGCTCCCATCACCCTCCCCGACCCTCTCCGTCACCTCACCACACCCAGCAAACTCTCAGCTCAGGAACCTAGAGGAGAGTTGGGATGTAATGTTTGGAAAATGCCCCTTGTATAGGAAAGGAGTGCTGAAACTCATCACCCACTTTCACCCCCAGCACAAGCAGCCTGGCTTCCAGCAGTCTCATTACTTTGTGGCTCTGTATCGGTTCAAAGCCCTGGAGAAGGACGATCTGGACTTCCCGTGAGAGGCCTTTAGAGCAGGGGGTGGGGGTTATGGGGGAGTAAAGAGGGGAAGAACTGGGCTCCCTATGGGGAAGGGGGAACTCCAGGTTTGGAGCCTCTTGGGGCTGGGCCTGGGGCACAACCAGGGACTGTTATGTGACAAACCCTTCCGTTCCTTTCCCAGGCCAGGAGAGAAGATCATAGTCATTGATGACTCCAATGAAGAGTGGTGGCGGGTAAGAGGAACGGTTGGTGTCAGGGCCAGGTATGGGTTGGGTCTAGGACCTGAGAGTGAAATTGATTCTCCCTACTTCCAAAGGGGAAGATTGGGGAGAAGGTCGGATTTTTCCCACCAAACTTCATCATTCGCGTCCGGGCTGGAGAACGTGTGCACCGCGTAACAAGATCCTTTGTGGGGAACCGCGAGATAGGGCAGATCACTCTCAAGAAGGACCAGGTAGCTCTGGTACCCTAACCCAAACTCAGGCCTCAGTGCTCTTCAGCCAGCCATATTTCTTGGATATTGTAGCTCATTAATGAGGCTAGGGCGAGCCTCTGTAACCTCAGCTTCCCCTGTTCTTCTGACTTTCCCTTGATTCCTGTCCTACTCCTTAATCCTTTAACCCTAGATCAGTGGTGGTGAATTTATGGCATCAGTGCTCCAGTAGGCACACAGAACCCTCTCTTGTCCGCATGAGAGCCAAGTCTCCCCAGCAGTTGAATATTGGAAAAGTTGTTTTTTCTAAAGTAAAACCTAGCATTCAGATTTAATTGCAGTGTTGGCACTTTTCAGTAAATAAGTGGGTTTGGGATTGCACTTTGGGCACTTGGCCACCAAAACGTTTGCTATCACTGCCCTAGATCGTGGTGCAGAAGGGAGATGAAGCTGGTGGCTACGTCAAGGTCTACACCGGCCGCAAGGTGGGGCTGTTCCCCACAGACTTCCTGGAGGAAATTTAGGTGTGCGGGTGTCTGCAGGCAGGAGATACCCATCCCCCATTCTGGGCGGGCCCAGTGGAAGCTGGGGAGGAAAGGGGTGAAAGCAACTAGACTGCTGCTTGGGGGAGACCCACCAGTGCAAGACGGAGTTTCTGGAAAGGGACTGGTTCCCACCTTCCTCTCCCGGCCTAGGGCCTAGAACACCTGGTGTCCAGAGCAGCCTTTACCCGCAACCCCTCGAGTCCAGCCTACAAGAGCCGGAAAAAGAATGTTTCTCCAGTAAGAGGCACCGAGGGGTGTCGCGGGGACGAACTGTCTAATGTTGCAAATTTATTAAAGTTTTGACAAAAGTATAACAAGTTTGTTCTTTCACTTGGGACAAAAAGAGAGCTTTGTTTGGTTTTTGGGGGTTTTTTTTGAGACAGGGTCTCACTATGTAGTTGAGACTGACCTGGAACTCACTATGTAGTCCAGGCTGGTCCGAACTCACAGCGATCCTCCTCCTGCCTCAGCCTCCCGAGTGCTGGGATTACAGGTGTGCGCCACCACGCCCAGCCTGAGAAGACAACTTTGAGGGGAGTGAAGAATGCTTTCCTGCTGACCCATCTTAATACTATCGAGTAACCGCGACCCATCTAAATTGAAGCTGGTAGGAGGTAGGGAAACAGTTGCATCTGTCCGGTGAGGTCTCTGCTAGTAGAGAAGAAACAACTGGACTGGAGTTGTCACCCTGCTTCCCCTGTGGCTGGAGCTCAGCAGGGTAGATCCCTCTAGCTCTTAGCTGTTTAGCGGTGGACTGACCCTTGTGTTGCGGAACTTGGCTCAGCGCCGAGCTGGGCCGCCAGGGGGCGATGCAAGATCTCACTTGGAGATCGGGGAATGGGCAGGGGCGGGAGGGGGGTGGATAAGGGGAGAGAATCAGACACCAAGCCCGAGACCCTAGGCCTGGGAGGGGGTGGGGTGCGTGCCGTCTCCATGGCAACGCTTCCTCAAGTCCTCCGGGAATGGAGCTAGCGAGGCCGGAGGGCGGGAGTTAGCCCCTCCCGCGCGGTCCCTGCCCCAGCCCTTTCCCGACAGGTACCAAGTGAGGACGCTCCTCGGACAGCTAAAGGCTCCGGCAGAGACCCCCCTGCGGTGTGCCGTATGCAAATTTAATTTACATATGCAAATATGCAAATGTACCGGCCCCGGTCAGGACGGCAGGTGGCGAGGAGCGGGAAGGTGTGGGGAAGGGAGCAGAATGAGACCAGGAGTTTAGGGACCTGGGAGTAAACTAGTGAGAGACACCTGGGGTGGTTGCTGGAGTGGGGCAGGCAGAGGGTCTTGAGCTTAATGGCGGGTGGGGGAGGGTCGACCTGGCCCAGAATCTCCTCTTCCTGCCTGCCCGTTGTCTGCCAGGACTGAGGTTGGCACTGCCTAGCAAGGTTGGCAGCAGGAGCCCGGGCACCATCTGCTGCTGCTGGCGGTGGGGAGGACAGAGGCTCAGCTGGGTTGGGGAAGAGGAGGGCCCGGGACGTCACCGAAGGCTGAGGTGTGAAGCGGGGTAGGGAGGCACACAAGAACACTCGCTACAGAACCCGGTTCCGTTTCTTTTTTCCTTTGCCCTTGACTGTCCCAAACACCTCGGGGCTTTAGCAGGGTCATACAGGAAGACTCGGGCAGCTCCCTTTTAATCATGGATTGGGTTGAAATAGATCACAGGCACATGCACACACCCCACTCACACAAGTCAATATTTGCCCCATTTTTCTTCCGGATCCACCTACCATGAGGGTACACGGAGAGGGACAGCTGAGGACTCCGACTTATCCTAGTCAAGTAATCTGAAGAACTTAAAACTGGAGGCTCCTCTCCAAGACCCCCCCACACACACACACACAATACTGAAACAAAACCAATTTACTGGCTCATTGGGCGGCGATGCTGGTGTGGGGGTGTGGAGGAGCAGAGAGAGCGGCTGTTCTTCCCCTGCACTCGGGGGGGCGCCCCCTCCCTCGCCTGACGCAGCCGGCAGCTGTCCCTAATTAGAGCTTCTGTTTAGTTGGATTTATCAGCAGTTAATAGGAAATTAAGCAAAGGGCCCGAGAGAAGAGGGGCGGAGGAACGAGGAGATAGGCTGTGCTGAACTCAAAGGAGGGGTGCTGGGAACACAGGGCACAATGTCACGGTGGGGCCCCATGTAAGCTGGTGGAGCCCTGGCCCTCAGACCAGGACGCATCCCAGGGAACCACCACAGGCAGGACAGCGACCTTATTTGAGTCCCCACTGCCTCCCACTCCCACAAGCAGCTGCCTGGGTGATGGATGATGCAGCTGCACACCACAAAGGTCATAAGTCTGGACCAAGGAACAGACTGAATTGAAAATAGATCAGAGAAAAGGCCGGGGTATTAGGGTCCAGGACTCAACTTGTATTCCACCCCTCTTCACAGTCCATTTCACTCTTTAAAAAAAAAAAAGTGGGTGTGATGCCCCACACCTGTAATCCCAGCCCTTGGGAGGCTGAGGCAAGAGGAGGGAAGAGTTTGAGATCAGCCTGGGCCACAGTGCGAGTCTCTGTCTCAAATAAATAAATACATACATACATAAAATGCTCCTTGAAGGCAAAAGATTGAACAACATGGGAAATGAGTTATCCTTTCTTCAATTCTCATCTTGCAAGCCAGTTGGGCTTGAGGATTTCTGAGACCAATGCCACCAATGTGCCACCCTCATCCCTGCCCCCAAGGCTCACCTGGGCCCCAACAGTCCTGGAATTGCTGCTCCAGCAGCCCAAGGTCCACACCACCTGCCCTGAGGACCTCAGAAGGGAGAGCGCAGGCTTCTGAGTGCACAGCCCCAGGCGCCTCCAGTCACCACCACCTCATTACAGTGCCAGGCTCACAGGCTCACAAGGACTACTCAGGGAGCCCTGAACCTCTCAGCCACTCTCCAACCTGAAGGGCACAGATGGCGGATCCCACATGTGAGTGGGTGGAGGCTCTTAATGGCTATGTCTAGTGGGGGATCAGTACCCCGATGTGTGGTACATTCCTGCCCTGGAGTGTGAGATGTAGCCCCACGTGTATGTGTCTTTGCCCCTGAATGTGGCCGTATTGTGGGGTTTGTCCACCTGCCATCCACACTTATCTGTGATTTCTGTCTAAGCCCCAGGGTGTCTAGGTGTCTGGGTTCATATTGCTTTGGCGTGTCTACATGTCTGCACACTGGTCACGCCTGGGTGTGCCCCCCGTTCAGGAGTCTCCAAGTATCTGCCACCAGGATTGTATGTGTGAAAACCCAGAAGAGCTACTGGTGAGTGTAAGTCGCTCTGGTGTCTCTGTCTGCAGGTGTGTGTGCCTCGGTGACAGTGCGTGGGTATGTACCTGGGTGTGAGCTGTACCCGAATGACAGTATGATGCACGTGTGTGTGTGTGTGTGTGTGTGTGTGCAAACGCGGGTACGCGTTCGTTCCGTGCTCGCGCGTGAGTGTCTGGGTGAGTCTGCCGCCCCCACCTTCCTCTCCCTATTTCTATTCCTCTCTCCTCTCCTGGCCGGCTCGGCTCCGCCGTCCGCATCATCTCCATCCATTATTGAAGAAACAGCCGTGTCCGCTCCAATCACATCAACACCCCCGCCCCCTCCTTCCTGTTCCTCTGCCCCATGGCTCTTCTAGGTGCTGGGGAGGGGGAAAGCCCAGGCGCAGCTGGAGTGCCGGGCGGGAGCAGACCCCTGACCCTGTGCTCCGAACTGGGCCAGGCACAGGGACACCGGGGTCCCTGGCGGAGAGCACTTTGCATAAACAGATGGCGCGGGTGTCTTTGTCTCGCTCGCTTGCTTACTCGCTTGCTCTCTTGCTTGCTCGCGTGCTGCGAGGCTCCCGGCTCCCTTCAGTCTGGCTGATGCAATCATGATCATCTCAGAGCCTCAGGACCAGGCGCCCTTAATACTGACGGGGGGTGGTTCACAACCCTGGGGCTCTTGAGCAGATGCTGGGCATTGTGGCTTTCCTCCCCCAGGTACCCCCTTCGCACCCCACAACTGCGGCGGGAAGACCTAGGCTGAGGCTGAGGTGACGGATGTCTGGAGGTGACCAGGCGGGGGACCCTGGGCAGTGCCACGAGGTGTCCCTAGGCTGTCCAGTTGGACTGCTGCAGCCCCCGAGGGGTAGCAGGCCAGGAATAGGAATGGAGCTGGAGAATGAGGGGTTGAGCGGTAGAGGGAGACAGAAAGGAGTTTCAGAAGAGACAGGGAGACAGAGATGGAGAGACAGAAACAGATACAGGACAAAGCCAGGAAGACACAGCAGCAGAGGAGAGAGATGCAGCCAGAATATGGTACAGACATACCTAAAAAGACAGAGCATGAAGAGGCAAAAGAGAGGCAGTCAAAGGCTAGGGCAGGCCAGGTCAAAGGCAGGAAGTGCAGTCTCAGGACCTACTGGCCTCAAAGCGGAGATGTAGCCGCAGCTGTCTGAGGCCAAGCTGGAGCGAAGGACCAGCCTGAACCTGAGGTGATGCCTGCAGCCGGCAAGGCAGAATCTTCCGCGTCGCCTCTTCACCTTCTGGCCCCATTTCACATGAGTAGAGTGGAGGATGAGGGACCCATTGCCTTGGTGGCGGGAGTAGCCAGACTGACTCGGCTGGCGGGACCTACACATTCGGGGCGCGGATTTAAGTGCCGAAATGGTGGGAGCGCAGGGCCGACGCTACCCAACAGGGGGCGCCCAAGGCCTCTTCCCGAGTTTAGGAGCCTTTCGACCTCCAGGGGGCATCCGCGCCCACAGCCCTTGCGGCCACAGCTTGCTTCGGCGAGTCCAGCTGCATTTGACTTGCTGCGCCGCCAGATCCGGGATTAGTATCCTGGTGCGGTCTAGTGTTCAGAGTGCAGCTCCAGCCTCGTGCCACCAGCGGCTAATGACTCCTGCCATCCCTTAGCCCACTGGACCAGCGTGGCCTGAATCACTGTGGTAGGAAGTGCAGGGAAGGGAGAAATGGGATCCGGAACCCCGTGAGTTGTGTTCCAGCTGGGCCCCAGAGACCGAGATCCTTGGATGAGAACCAAAGAGCGAAGGGAACTTCGAAACAGAATGGCAAAAACTTGGACCAGAAGCCAGTAAAGGGTCAAAGAATCGCGGAGAGAAAGGAGCAGAATAATAAAATAAAATACATCAGATCAGGCCTCAGGCCCATGACAGGAGGAAGAGTAGTTGCTCTGGGAAAGAAGCAGGATGGATCTGGGTCATGCCAGGCACAGGTCATCAGAACACAGAAAAGGGGCAGAAGGAAATGAGCGATCGCCCCAATGCAAAGGAGCACAGTTCAAGGGCCAAGCATCGCTTTGGGACCTGCTCCCCAGCTGTGCCACAGAGTGCCAGATGTGAAACCCAGCTGGGCACCCACTCGGGCTTGAGCTCCGGGATTGATTTTAGTACCAGAGAGTGGAGGCCTGGGGCATGGCGACAGGACACCGCCTCCACGGCCTGGCGCTGGAGGTACAGGCGCTCAGGCAGAGCTCTGTGCAGCTTGAAGCCCTGACATCCTGTCAGCCCCCCTCCTCCACCTCCCCACACACACATCGCAGCGAGTCTCTGTCTCTTTGTTCTCGCCGTGTCTCTGACACTTTATCTCATTATCCACCGGAGGGAGGCGGAGAGCCGGGGACCCCGCAGCCTAATTACAGCCGGCTTGTCAGCGGAGGGGGCGGAGGAGGTATCAGTGTGCAAGAAAAGGAGGGGGCCCCCAGGAGTGGGCTTCTCCCTCCCTATACCCCACGGGGCCCAGCAACGGGTGTATAGCTCACCCCTGCGGGCACCTCCATAGGGGGAGCTCTGGAGGATCCAGGGGCAGAGGGGTGGTGGAGGTTAGCGTGGGAGTGGAGACAAGGACTGAGGCTTGGTTCCAGCACCTCTAAGACCCCAATTCCCCAAAGATGGGGTGCGGGGGGCCTTCCCACCCTGGCAGCCTAGCATACACCTGAACTGGCTGAGGAACTAGGCAATCGCTCACAGTTCTGTCTCTGCCCGTCGTTCTCTTTCCTTCAACATCTATCTTTGTTTGACTGTTTCCTTCACTCTGTTCTCTTCCCTGGTTCCTCAGCCAGAGGTACAGAGGGAACCCCACTTCACTCCTACTCAAAGGAGGCAAGCACATTCAAATGTCTTAAGCCCCCAAACGGCCACAATTCACTTCTCCTGTCCTGTGTCCTGGTCAGATAGGTCTGGTTTCTCCAGCCTCCAACCACTATTCTTCCAGGCCAACCGCAACTTGGAGAGACCACCCAGGCCCAGAGAGCTGGGCATCTTTAGTGATATCATCTGTCCCTTCTTCCCACTAAACTGTGGACTCAAACAGCCAGGGTCCTCTCCCTAACCCTCACTGCCCCTGGACTCTGGGTCTCACCTGTGAATATTCCACACATCCATTTTGCTAGAGATCTATCTGCTTGCCTGTCCCACATCGAATTCCCCTTCAGTCAGTCCCTGGATGCCTATAAGTCTCCTCCCTCAGACATCCAAAGCCCCAGATATGAAGTCCCACGGGCCAGGGTGCAGGCTTCTGGAGGAAAGAGTTGGGGAGCAGAAATCTCTGGTTTCTCCCAACAATTTCTCTTTGCTTCATGCCTGGAATTACCAAGGAAGCAAACAGTGGGGTGGGGTGAGTTTGAGGAGGCAGGCGGACGGCTGGGCTGGGCTGGGCTGACCCCTCCCCAGTGGGGGGCGGGATCCCAGAAGGAGGCATAGTGCAGAGGCACTGGAGAGGACCGGACTGGAAGGACGATATGGCAGGAACCAGCTTAGGGGCCCGTTTCTATCGGCAGATCAAAAGACATCCTGGGGTGAGTTTAGTCCTCATACCTGAGATTCTAACTCTTAACTCTCTGCTGCCCCACCCTCAAATCCACTAGAGCCCTGCCCCTGTGCAGTTCCCCCAATATCCTCGGGGACCCCTCAAGCTACTCTTGCAGTATGTCCCATATCCCTGGATTTTAGTATTGCAATAGGATACGGGAGTCCAGGAATGTGGTTGTGGGAGGTGGGGGGTTCCAGGTCCCCTCTTCCTGGAGAAGGAAGGACTAGACCTTGGGTGGAAGTGGGTCAAGTAAGGAAGCTGATAAAGGGAGAGTGGGAACTGGGGAGAGGGGGCTGACTGAAAATGCCCTCTGACTTTCCCTACAGCTCATTCCAATGATCAGTTTCATCGGTCTTGGCATGGGCAGTGCTGCGCTCTACTTGCTTCGACTTGCCCTACGCAGCCCTGACGTCTGGTAAAGGCTGGGCTTGGGATGAAGGCAGGGTCCTGGGTGTGGGGAGGTGGCAAAGTGAAGCAGGAAGACATGGACATCTTAGGGATGGTGGGGATAGGTGGTCCTAGCAGGGATCCCCAGACTGTATACCTCCCACAGTACCATGTGACATCTCAGGGCTGCATCTGACTCCTACCTGGGAGACCCCCATTTCACCTTGGGCCAAAGTGCCCCCTCTCTTCTGATGGCTGGTGACTTGGTGAGTTCCAGGCCTTGGAACTCACAGAGCTCCTGGCCTGGTTGCCATGGTGACACCATTCTGCCTGCTGCTTCAGGCTTTTGGGTACCTCTTGTCCATGCAGGAGCACTGGGGATATGGCTGGACAAATCATGCGGGGGTGCTGTTGGGGACCCCAGGTAGCACCTAAAACTTTATGTTCTGCTGGAGGTGGCATAGGGAAGGAGGATCCTTGGACAAGCAGAAGGAGCTCCCACCCACTGCCTTGCTGGGATTCACCAAAATTCTACCCATTGGGATCTCTGCTGGATTCCCAGGACTCTGTTTTGAAGGGTTAACCTCAGGTGCCAGTGAGCAGGAGTGTTCCTAGGCTGGATTGTCATTCTGTCACCAAGCCCCACATCGACAATGGAGACAAGCTTCTTGTCTCACTTATCAGCACGGGCTAACGTGCCCCCTTCCCTTCTGTCTCTAGGAAATGGGATCTCCCCAGAGTAGGAGGCAGGGGTGGATGTACTAAGGTGGGGACAGAGACCCTGGCTGGAACTTAGAGGAACACATTCAGCTGGTGTCTTGGCTTCCAGATAGGAGACCCTAACCCTCCCTTCTCCTCCACAGCTGGGACCGAAAGAACCCAGAACCCTGGAATCGCTTGAGCCCCAATGATCAATACAAGGTACCTGCTGGGTTGCTTCCCCTTCTGTTTACTCAGCCTACCTGGTCTCTAGACCTACCCCTCCCATGCTGGGAGTAAAAGTGGGGCTTGCAATCCTTTTTTCCCTCTTCCCTTAGTTCCTTGCAGTTTCCACTGATTATAAGAAGCTGAAGAAGGACCGGCCAGACTTCTAAACCAGGCTGGGCTGCTAGCTGGATGTAAACCACGGAACTCATTTCTTCCACTGCCTGTTCCCAGACCCTAAGGCATCAGTCTAGTCACCTCACCCAGCTCCTGCTTACACAGGCCGGGTTCCCACGAAGAGGGGGGGCAGCTCCACCCACTACCCTGCTCCCAGCAGCGGAAGCAACACTGACCCCTGGCTTCAGTCCCACGAGGGGGAGGGGAGTCAGGACAGCAGGCAGCAACTGGGTCCTCAGCTCAAAAGGCCCAAACCAGCCCCCCAGTTCTGACTTGCAGGGTGTGGCTGGCACAGGCTACGTGTTGAGCCTGGCCTACGTGAGCCAACAGCAAGCAAGGGCCTCTGAGTGCCAAGCAGGAACGTGGCGGGCCCCACGTTTGCCTGAGCTCTCAAGAGTGCCAGCCCTGGGGCGGCGCTGTTCAGGCTAGACTAGCTTGCCTCTGCTGCCCAGGACGGGGTACCCATGCCAAACAGCAGCTCCTCCTCTGCCCCAGCCTGCTGCCTCCCCCACTGGCAGCACAGAACACCTGGGCCTCCCCTGCCACTCCCTCCTCCCCTCCCTTGCTCCCCTTGGTCCCCCGGGATCAAACAGAAGCAGCCGTGGGCAAAATACAATTTCATTTAACAAATTGAATTTGCTGCGCCTGCTAATCACGTCTGGTGTCGGCTCTGATCAGAGACAGAGAGAGGAGGCTGCAGCCCCAGGGGTCCTTGTGGTGGTGGTGGGAGGAGAGGGAGGAATAAATGTTGAGGGAGTCAAATCACCGAATCACTGGCTGGCCCAGGGGATCCCTCCCACATGATAGAAACCCAGGGCAGGGTAGCATTTTATTAGATAAAAACAGGAAGGAGGGTGCCTGCCCACCCCTTTCGCTGGCTCAGCAGGACACCCCCCCCCAAAGAAAAAGAAAAAGTAACACTGAGACAATGGCAGGTTAGGCAGAAAGCTTGGGGGGGTGTTTCCTTCTAAATCTGGTTTCAGAAAAAGATAGCTATAATTTCTGGGAAGAGAGACTGTACTTGGCTCTTGCCCTGAATGGACTGGCTGGGGGACCTTCCCTCTACCACCAAGAAATAGGTGGTATTCTCTTCCAACAGACTTGGTGAGGTGAATGAGAGTAACTTCCAGCCTGTAGGTATCAATTCCCAAGGGCCTTCAGCGTTCATCAAAACCAGGCATAGGGAAGGCCCTGGCAAACTGCTCCACCCGTTGCCTGAGGTTGGCCAGACGATGGATTGTTTCAGGGTCCTTTAGCAGGAAGGATTTGAATTCCTGGAGCTTGGCTAGGAGAGTTGAGGAAAAATGCACGGTTAGAGATCTACCCAAGGCAGTGGGATGAGGTGGGGGAGGAAGCAGTGGGTGTAAATGGGTTTGTTGTGGGGCTTTTTCTTGACCACTCACCGGTCTTGCTCTTCACCTCCAATCCAATGTTGACTCCTTCATCAATAAAGTCTACAACTCTCCGGAAGTCATCCTCACGGAACTGTCGAGAGGTCAAGGCTGGGGCCCCTGGAAGAGCCACAGCAGAGAGGATTAGCACAGTCAAGGCCACAGGGCAGCCACAAGGTATAGCCTCCCTCCTTGGACCCCAGGTCTCACCAAGTCGCAGACCCCCAGGAGTGATGGCACTTCGGTCTCCAGGACAGGTGTTCTTGTTGGCAGTGATGGACACAAGCTCCAGGACTCGCTCAGCCCGAGCTCCATCCAAGCCCTTGGGCCGCAGGTCTACGAGCACCAGGTGGTTGTCAGTGCCACCTATGCAGGGGTTATAATCAGGAAATGGTGAGTCCTGGACCTCTACTGGAAGGCTACAAAGGCCCTCATCCACCCTCTGGCTCACCAGACACCAGTGAGTAGCCTCGATCTAGGAGGGCATCAGCCATGGCCCGAGCATTCTTCAAAACCTGCAGGGAGTACTCCCGGAACATGGGGGTAGAGGCCTGGGGAGGAGACAGCAGCACGTGTGACCCCAGATTGCTTGTCTACCCCTCCTGCTCCTCCATACCCAGCAAGGATGGCTCTGTGACCCCAGCCTTGATCCCTCCCAAACTGGCACAACCTTCCATCAATCTCAACTCTAGTTAGCAAGGTGTAGGATAAAGCTTCCAGACCACTAGTCCCACCCACCTACCCCACAAGGGCAGGCTCCCCAACCTGCTTGAGGGCCACAGCTACTGCAGCAATGGCATGGTTGTGAGGGCCCCCTTGCAGGGATGGGAACACGGCAAAGTTGATTCGGTCCTCAAATGTGTAAGGGATCTCCCGGCCAGTCTTGGGGTCCACAGCCCGTACCCCTTTCCGGTAGAAGATGAGTCCTGACCTGTGTGGAAGGTGGGTGTCAGAATCTAGGCTGAAATTCAATAAAAAGGGATGGGGAGATCTGAGAAAGCTGGCTGGCTTGGGCCCTTGAGGGCCCTGAGTTCCCTCAGTAGTGCCTGATTATCTTGGATTCCAATGGATTCCCAGCCCCACTGCCAAATCCCCTGCTGAGGCATCACAGGCGAGAGAACTGAACTGTCAGACTGAGCAGAAGTCTTTGGGACTGTATATGGGAATGAATTCCTCTCAGATCCACAAAGGGTGAGCATGAAGGCAAGGACAAGCAAGGCCTGACCCCGGGGAAGCCTGACCTGGCCCCTCGAAGAGTCTTGTGAGTGGTAGTGGTGACAATGTCTGCATACTTGAAAGGTGAGGGGATCACCTTGGCAGCCACCAAGCCACTGATGTGGGCCATGTCTGCCAGCAGGTGTGCCTTGACGTCATCACACACCTGGACAGGTATAGAGACAGACCTCAGCTTGGGAAGGCCCAGACAGGCACACCCGAGGCTGTCCCTCCTCCCCACCCTCCACCCTTCAGGGCAGTGCCCAGTACTCCAGCCCCCCACCAACCTCTCTCATGCGGGCGTAGTCAATGAGGCGAGCATAAGCACTGGTACCAGCGATAATAAGCCGAGGTCGGAAAAGCCGAGCAGTCAATGCCAGCTGGTCATAGTCAATGAGGCCGGTTTGGGGCTGGACAGACAGATAAACAGCTAAAGCCCTGAGACAGGGACCCCCCACCCCCAGGAAAGAAACACTAGGGCCAGAGCAGCTACCTCCCACACCCAAGAACACTCACATTGAGTTTATAGGGCATAGACTCAAAGAAGATGGATGTGGCAGAGATCCGTTTAACATCAGACATGTAGCCATGGGTGAGACTGGGAAGCAAGAAGCAGGCCTGAGTGGAGTAACCCCCGACAGAACCATTCCCTGCCCGGCTCCACAGGCCTCCATTCCCAGAACACTGGCCTAGCCTGCCCCACCCTCCTTGCTCTGTCCACTCTGTGGTGGGCACTGATGTGACGGCGGGGGGGTTCTTATCTTCCTCCTCCACTGTAACAGTGCAGGATAGGGAGAGGGATGTCCCATCTACATGAGACACAGTAGGTATTCAATAAATAACTTTTCCCACATCAGTACTGCGCACCAAACCCATCATCCCCTGTATCTATACTCACTGGCCCCCATCGGGCAGGTCCAGCCCCATGATTCGGTCATGAGGCTGCAGAAGGGCTGTGTAGGCAGCCAGATTGGCTGGGGACCCAGAGTAGGGCTGGACATTGACTCCCCACTGTGTAGGATCCAAGTCAAAGGCTTCCAAGGCTCGACGCTGGCACAGCAGCTCAATTTCATCCACTACCTCTGCTCCTCCATAGTATCTGCCATGAAGAGGGATACATAAGGGCACAGAGAAAGGACTCTCGACCAGCAGCAAAGGACTGGGAAGGTCACTGCTCCATAAGCACCTCGGGGTACAGGAAGGTTCCGCCACTGGGAGTGCCATCCCTGACGTTGCCCTCCAGCCCTCTGGTGTCTAGCCCTCACCTCTTGCCAGGATAACCCTCCGAGTACTTGTTGTTCAGACAGGACCCCAGGGCCTCCAGCGCAGCTCGGCTGCAGAAGTTCTGGGGTGGTGGGGGGGCAATGTCAGAGGTATTGAGCCCCTTTTCCCTGAGTTCCCATAGCCCCACCCTGCCAAAGCCCAAGGCTGCAGGGGGAGGTGGGCTGCACAAGAAGCTCTGTTCACTCTGGGTTCCTTGCCAGGGGTGGGCAGAGCCAGAAGCAGCTTTCTTGGCAACTGAGCAGCTGTGATGGGTGTCCCCCACCTGTCCACTCAAACTGGTATCTCCAGGCTCCTCTTTCCTCTTGGGGGGGGCAGATGAAATTGTAGGGACTCTAGAAGGCTCTGGAAGCTCTCTAATGCCCCAACCCCATCAAATGGGACTGCCCTGCCTTTGCTTCAGAGGATGGTAAAGAGAAGATGATAAGGCCCAGCAGAAAGGCCCCGAGGAAGACAGGGAGATCTGGAGAGGTAGCAATAAGATAGCTTGTTACTTCCTGTACCTACCCTATGGCCCACCCTCTGCCATTTCCCCAGGTCCCACCTCCGAGGCAATCAGCTCCAGGCCACGGCACTGCCTGTCCTTTTCCTTCTGCAGCAGCTCCCACATCTCAGGGTCACTGTCCGAGAGACTCTCCTGGCCTGTCCAACCCTGAGTTGCTTCCCTGGTCTGAGTCTGGGCGGCCTTGCTGTGCTGAGCCCGAATAGCCATCCCGACTAGCTGACCACATCTCTGCAGAGGCTGGGGACAGGAAAAGTCAGTGTCAGATAAAAACTGTTCGGAAAAACAATTTCCCAATCACTCTCAGGTGCCACATTCATAGGTTCTCTGGCCAGTACCAGGCAGCCAGCTGCCCAGACACTGTTCCAGTTCTCTCAACACCACTTCTACATGTAAAAGCTAGTTGAGAGCCAAGACTGAGATCAATGTCCAGAGAGTAGGCTTTTTTTTTTTTTCTTTTGAGACAGGGTCAGTTTGTACTCTTCCTGCCTCAGGCTCCCAAGAAAGGGGTAGTTCTGATTGGCTCCACTCACCTCACCTCAGAATCTCTCCATTTTACCCCATGACGGCTCTGTAAAGCCACAGGGCAAGACCTGTACAGCAGAAGCCCCTGTATCCCAAATTCAGGAGTCAGCCAGATTCCAGAACCTCCCTGCCCACAGGAACAAAAAAAAAGCTTTCCTGCAGGTACACAAACTGATACTCTAGTTGGAAGAAGAAACCAAGTGGAGAGAAGTTAAGCCATGGCTGCAGAGGTGGTTTCCAGAGCAATGGAAATGGGAACCCCGCTAGTGTGCCAGCGTACTGTCTTCTTGGCATCTGGTGAGCTCCTCTCCCTCACTGCCACGTTAAACAGGCGGTCACAAGGCCCTGGGGCGTCTGACCGTCAGAACAATGGGCCCCAATTCACCCCACACGAGCCAGGGGTCTCTGGGATTCCTAGATTAGAGATTTTCTCCCTGTGGCCCCAGAGCACGTGGGCTAGAAAAGCCAAGAGAACCCTAGAGTTTGTGGATGGGAACTAACGTAGAGGGTGGGGACTTTCCACTAGTCACCCAGTATCTGGAATCCCGTTCTTACCCGCGCTGCACAGAACAAAGAGAAGGGTAGCATGGTTATTCGAGGTCGCAGGAGGTCCAGCCACTAACTCCGGTGCGGAGCAGCAAGGGGTCTGAAGAAGACCGGTCCTAGGGCGCGTGCGTGTAATGAACGACCCGGGAAACCGGAGTGAAGGGGAGGGGCATACGCATGCGCAATGAAAACCCTCTGTGGGCTTTTGGGAATTGTAGTTTTTTTCTTCTGCCTCAGTCTTTTCTTCTTCTTCTGTCTCATTCTCTAGCTGTATCCCCAGGATCAGAGAACGTTACCTGAAAGACAGATTTTTTAAAAAAGACAGGGTCTTTAAGACATAGGTCTATGGAGCTCAGGCTGTCCTTGAACTCATTATGTAATCCAGGCTGGCCTCGAACTCTCAGTGATCCTCCTGCCTCAGCCTCCCAAGTGCCAGGATTACAGGTATGCGCCACCATACCAGGCAGTATTTCTCAAAAGAAAAGACATTTTGGGCGACTGTATCCTTATGGTCCCGAATATTTTCCGGGTTTTTTTTTTCCCCCTTTTTAAAAAAAAATTCCCGCCAGGCGTGGTGGCATGCCTGTAATCCCAGCACTCCGGAGGTTGAAGCAGGAGGATCGCTGTGCTTTCAAAACCAGCCTGGGCTACATTGTGAGTTCCAGGTCATTCTCAACTACATACTGAGACCCTGTCTCAAAAAAAAAACAAAAACAATAAAGAAACAAATAAATAAAAATTTTAAAAAATTCCATCAGGGTCAGGATTTAGCTCAATGGTGCTGCCACCTGCCTCGAAAGCGCAAGGTCCCCGGTACCAAGTTACCAAAAAAAAAAAAAAAAAAAAAA